TAAGCCGATGGCGATGCGGGTTTCTGAAGCATCGGAAATTTTGGACGACCGGATCGATGAGTTTACCGAAATTTACCAGAAAGAATATGGAACGGAAGATGTCAACTTTGGCAGCGCCGCTGTCCAGAGCACAAGCGAGATTATTGCCGTCGGACGCATCGCTTCAGACAGCTTGGAAGGGAAGCTAAATCCTTCGTCACTTATTCTTGAGACCTCCAGACGAACAGGCGCTGGTCTACGTGTACCACTGAATTTGGATTCAGTACCGTCAGCGAATTTTTTTCCTGGACAAATAGTTGCGCTGAGAGGGATCAATGCCTCAGGGAACTATTTCTCCGTCAAGGAGGTGTTGCCCCCACCCCTACTACCACCTGCAGTTTCTTCTCAGGTTACTATGGACAGTATCAACCAGAGGCTAGAGGAAGCCGGCTCTCCCTCACCATTGAATGTGTTGATTGCGTCTGGACCATACACAGCTGATGGCAATCTCGCTTTTGAACCGCTACACGAGATCTGTCAGAAAGCCGCTGAGACCTATACGGACAGTCTTGTGCTGATGGGGCCTTTCCTGGATATTGAGCATCCGCTACTGTCCTCAGGGGACTTTGACCTCCCCGACATGAAAGGATTTGACCCCGACACTGCCACATTGGCAACGGTGTTCAGGCACTGCATCACAGCGCCGCTGCAGAAACTCGTCGCAGCTGTGCCCAGCATTACAATCGTGATGATACCGTCCGTTCGGGATGCGTTGAGCAAGCACGTCTCCTGGCCGCAGGAGCAGTTGCCCAAGAAAGAGCTCGGGTTACCCAAACAGGTCCGGATGGTATCCAACCCCGTGACATTGTCCTTCAACGAGACCGTCATCGGCATATGCTCGTATGACGTGCTATACGATTTACGACGAGAGGAAGTTCTGCAAGGCAAACCCAAAGAAGGTAGTCTCTTGACTCGGTTGCCCAAATACCTCATCGAACAACGGCACTTCCTCCCCATGTTCCCCCCCTCTTCCCGCGAGAATCTCCCCAAACCAGCAACTGAAAACGGTGTCGCGACGGGAGCCATGTTAGACCTCAGCTATTCCAAGCTAGGAGAGTGGTGGAATGTACGGCCGGACGTGTTGATTACCCCGAGTCTACTCCCCCCATTTGTCAAGGTATTTCCTCTGTGTCTTTCGCTCTCAATCTCAATTCTAACACCGATCGTCCAGGTCGTTGACAGCGTCCTCGTGATCAACCCCGGCACACTATCCAAACGACGAGCAGCGGGGACATATGCCCAGATGGCGATTCACCCGCGCGTAATAGCAGACGACGAACGAGAACAGAAACAGCTAGGTCATAAGCTCTACGAACGGGCACGGGTGGACGTTATTCGCATATAATTGTATCTTTACCAGCCGCTACACGGCGTCCGGAGTCACGATAGACATGACAATAATAATGACTTTGCTCCCTGACCCTGAACCCTGGTATCAATAAAAGAAAAACAGACCGTAACACCTCGCTCTCAAAGTAACACCCAAGTACCAAATTCTACCCACTGAGCTCCATTACCGCAAGCAAACCGTCCTCTTCCCACCCATCAACCGTCCCGCCTCCTTAACCCTCACCTTGGCCCCCTTGACCCTCCCACCCCCGCTGCCCCCACCAGCAACCAACCCCTCCAACCCCAAATCCCTCCAAGCCGGCTCCCTCCTCCGCTCCATCGCCCGCGTAATCCCAAACGCCGCATGCTGGTCCGGCACCACATCATCCTCATCCTCGGGGTTGGGCGGCTGATACTGCGGCAGCACGTAGATCTCCTCGATGGGCAGGTACGACGGGACCAGCGTCGGCGAGGAGGAGCCGTACGTGACCCCGTGGCTGTAGCCGTGCTGGTAGAGGTGGGAGGCAGACGCGGACGCGGTCATGTTGGCTGTTTGCGAGGTGTGTGGGCGGGTGAATTCCTCGAAGTAATCTGCCAGTCGGGGATGGTGCATGTGGATGTTTGTGGGGGAGGAGTCTTTGCTCTGTTGAGGGTTGGGGTTAGTTACTAGTTACCCAGGTGGTTTGTTTTGATGTATTGGTGATGACTAACCATTTTGGATTGCGGTTTGGATTGTAGCAAGATATTGAAATACACTTCTTTTATTCAAGTAATGCTGTGATAGGATTCGACGAGTTTTAAATGCAATGCGAGGCGGATATGAATTCACTGGATATCTAGACGCAAGGTAGGGACGAAAGAGATACGATGATATAGCGATAAGATCTAGAAGTTACACCGCCTTCTACACTTCTCTTTTGTTGCCTCAGGCAGCCGTCTTCTGTACATTGATCGAGAGGCATCATATCATGTCTCCAATTACGGAGTACAAAGGAGCATAACCATATAATAAACTTTTCTCTGATTGGCCCGCTAAGCTTCATATAGCCGAATATCATTACAATGGAAAAGTCGAACCCAAGTAGTAGATCCTTTGCCCAGAACGAAACCATGCAGGATGCGATCCAATACAATGGACCTTGCAGTAGTCCTGCCAACTGATGCAGCTGTCATCTTCGTCTTTAAATAATGCCACTGGATGTGGATCATTCGGACGGCCAATTATGTTTTCTGCCCTGAGTGTCATCACTCATTGAGCAAATTTCTTTTTTGATTCGAATAGCCACGACCATTTCACATATTTGTGCTCATCCGGTGCACGATTGGAACGGCACTTGGCGGCAGGCTGCCCATTTCCGTAACGACCATGTCAACATACTCGGCCGGTGTCACATCGTACATGATGTTCAAAAGCTGCAGGTTCGGAGTGTCTCTCCAGTCTTTCAGAGGCGAACTGCCCTGTGTGACCGCAGTAGACTCGGAAGGACTGGGGTTCGCAGCGGATTTGCTGCCCTTCTTGGGCTCTGGTTGAGCAACGGCAGCCGGATCAGGCAGACCTGTTACTTGCTGCAAGGGCTGGTTCATTACCAGCTCGTCCGCATCGGCAATTTCGTTGACGACAATACTGTCAAGAGCCACTCGGTCCGTGAACTTGACGGACTCACAGCATACAATGACAGGGACTTCCACACCACCGGCACGCTCCTTGGCAGACATGGCGACCAGCGCCGTGCCGACGCGTGAGTACAGCCGACCATTGCTGGTCATCGCGTGAGCACCGAGGAACACTTTGGTAGCATCCTTAATGGCATGGCTGATGCCGTTGACAAGCGAGTACTGAACCTCGAGACCGGCCTTGGCCAATGTCCGAGCCAAGTTCTTGCCCTCGAACAACGGACGAGAGTCGATGATGGATACCCGGAACTTCTTGCCTTGCTTGTGTGCGGTGAGAAGAGTTTGCTTGACAATCGAGCTACCCGCGTATGTCACAATCACATCACCATCCTGGATTTTCTGAGCGGCGCTGTCCGCAATGACCTGGTCTGCAACAGTGATCTTTTCGCGGATGAAGCTGTCGATAAAGTCGCTTAGCGACGCCTTGGCACTCGCCTCTGGGACTGAGGGGTCAATCGAGGAAATAGCCAGCTTGAGGGCACGAATAGCATTCCCCTGGCTGATCGAGAGAGGACGGCAAGTGGAGAGATAGGTAATCTGGTGGGAGAGGTGGGTAGTCAAGTGACGAGCCAAGGAGGTACCCAGAGGCGTTGTGTAGGACTCGATCACCTTGGGGAGAAAAACACATCAGCATAATCAACAAAGAAGGGAAGAAAAGAACATACCCTCTTGAACGCCAACAACGTCGCTACACACCGCGCACTGCTCCCACAAATCACATAATCCCTCATCTGCAACCCCAAAGCCAACACGGCCGGATGCACCTCCTTGCCCGCTCCAGCAACCGTAGTTCTTCGCTGCTGCCCATACAGGTGTCCAAAAACCGCCACACTCTTATCCTCATGCTTCTTCTTCTTCTGCTCCACGCCCCCAGCAGCCTGCGCAGAGCCCCGACGCGGCAGATACCCCCGGCCCTTCTGCGACTGCGCAGCAGCAGCGTCCTTCCCGCCCGCACCACCAGCCCCCCCGGCACCGGCCTGCCCTTTCTTCGCAAACGGGGGATTGGCGCCCTGCGCCGGCGCCGCACCGCCGGCTTGTTCTCTCTCGGCCTTCTCCTTCGCCCTGCGGGCGGCCTTTTCTGCTTTGGCCTTCTTCTTTAGTTCAGCGGGTGTGAGTTTCTCGGATCCTGCATCGGCCTGCGAGGCTCCATCGGCTGAGGACGCGCCCGCTTTGGGTTTTTGAGATTGTTTGGCGGGTTTTGAGGCGCTATTTGCGGCGCTATTTGCGGCTCCCTTGGGCTCGCGGGGTGGTTGCCGTTGCTGGGCTTGCATTTCCGAGGTAGGTTGTTGTTGCGCCGGCGCGGTAGAGGCAGATTCTGACACTGCCGAAGGTACTGGCGGATTGATAGGAGTGGCCATCTCGGGGCTCAACTAATTTAACGCGATAGCGAAAGCGAGAGGGGCATTGGCGACTTTTCTTGGTGATTGTGGGGTTGGGAGGAAGTTTGGCGGAATCGAAAGCGTCAAAAAGTCACGGAAGTTGAGTCAGAGGGCCCAAAAGAGGAAAGGCCAAGGCCGACTAATGCAGCCCTAAAATTCAGGCTGCATACTCGCATTTAGATCTGGCAGTGCAATCCAGATCAATGTGTGCAGGCTTTCTAGGTTTATACTGGGAGTGTATGCAGAAAATAAATTTATTGGCTTCATTATTATCTCGTAAACCAATTCGTCAACGTGTATCGTACTGGCATAATATCATCCCATCGTTTCATTGAAAAATCACAAAAGGAGCACACGCTGTAAGAACAAGAAGCCCTCCAGCAAATGCTTCACCGGCAGATATTCATCATCAAAGACTTGAAAGAAGTTCCAAGGTCTGACTATGATCGTCAGGTATCCTGGGCGACTTTCAAAAGCACACATAACCACGAACTCCACGTAACTCCAGAGTCCAAAACTCCTGCTTGCTCTTGAGATACAACAAAAAGCCACCCAGAAATCGCTGTCCCGCGTCATTTCCTAGAGATTATTGGCCAAAACAACTTCCAACGCACGACGTCTTTTGCGAGTTTCGTGCTTCTGGATGAATCGAAATCGTTCATGGTCGGTGGCCAGTTTGCGTTTGAACATGTTCAAATCCACCAGCAAGTCTTCCATGTCGGCCTGTATTTCCTGAGCCTTGACCTGACTAGCCTCGATGAGTATCGTGTCATCGTCTTCCCAGATGAGATCGGGCTCCGGTCCTGCATCAGAAATTGGTGACTGAGGCCGATTCTCGTTGACCCCGTCATTTGTGTTGCCGTTCTCTTCTCCCAAAGCTGAGAAGCCGCTCTTGCGCTTTTCGATTGTTACCAGGGGTATGGGATTCTTGAGGCTGTCCAGTGCAAGTTTCAGATGGTTGCGAAGCGCTTCATTTTCGGTCTGCAGTTGCCGAATCTTGCACTCACTGACCATCTTGGTCTCTTCCATAAGTCTCTGCATCTTCTCTACCTTTTGCTGGTAGACTTCGAGTCGCTCGTTCTGAATCTCGGTCTCCCTTCTGTTAGCAGCGGCCAGACTCACGCTGAGCTGAAGGGCTCGGATAGTCTCCGCCATTTCTGAAATCTGCTTATCACGCTCCGCGGCAGACATTTGGTCCTGGTTAACCCGAGCACGAGTGCGGATACGCTTGGCTTGGTCCGCGTAGCGAAGGGTAGAAAGGGTTTCCTCATAGTCTGAGGGAGAAATGCATGCGATCATTGCGGTCTTCGAGTTTCCGCCAAGGCTGTCCTTGAGCAGCCAAGTGAGTATTGAATCTCTGTACGGCACCACGTCCTTTCCTTTGCGCTTTCCAGAACGCCCATGTTTAGGGTCCGCCAAAGCTGCAATGACTCTGCCCAGAGTAGTGAGCGACTTGTTAATGTTGGACCCTTCCCGGAGTCGTTGACCAGTAGCTTCAGTAGACTTGGCTCGTTCGGATCCTGCAAGATCAACCAGGCGAATTCGGGCCGTGCGCTCAGTCGTCTCGTCTGTCGAAAGGTCGTGGTGTATCTGCTTCAAGGTGATGGTGAATACGGCGTGCGACCTGGAAGATGTGTCATTCATCTTGGTGCTCGCGACTGTGCGAGACATGTCGCCCTTGCGCATGTACTTCATCAGTTCGTTGTAGTTCCTGACAGTAACCTCTGTTAGATCTTTGACATAGGGGCCCTCTGCGGGAGACTCGCGAATGCGGAGGTAATGCGGAGGGTCGGTTCGGGGAACCAGCAAGTCGCGAACATGCTCGTTGTACACTTCAAAATATGACACGCGGACATTGTAGCTGACATCAGGCGACTCGGCACTTTCGATACGCTGGAATAAATCTTCACAGGTCCGAGGAATCAAGCCAGGTTGTTCTGGAGTCCCCATCATGGTATAACTTTTCCCCGAACCTGTCTGCCCATACGCAAATATGCAAGTGTGGTATCCTTCAAAGTTGTGGTCGAGGAATTCCTCGCCGAGGCAGTTGTAGACGTCCTCCTGGGTGGCATAATGTTCGTCATTGGCGTCGTGGGACCAAAACGAGTTGTCAAAGACAAAGGCTTTGTCCTCCAGGACCTTGCCGCGAGCTTGGGACTTTGGCTTTCCTTCGTCTTCTGGGTCAACACTGGGCGCTTTGAGCTTGGTCATTTGTGTGTGAGGATCCATCTCGATTAGACATTCCGCATTTCGCTCGGTTTCTATACCATTCAATGGCAGTTCACGCCGAGGTTAGCTCACTCCATTTATGCCTGGACCTGTGTCTCCCAGCTACCACATACCTCTAGGTAGAAACTTTCTCACACGGACGACGACTTTGACATTACCCCCAGGTGTTGGACTCGAGACGCCATCTGAATGTCTAGCCGGGACAGCGACGCTTTCTCTCGCACGAAGGGACGGAACAGAGGCTGTAGAACGTAACGTGGCTGCGGAGGCGGAAGTCGACATAGCTGAAGGGCTCGTTATGCCTGTGATTGCTGAAGCGCCGCACGATGAGTTGGAGATGTGGGAGCCAGGTCCGGTACCGTGGCCGAGATGGTGGTAGAAGCGTGGGTCCAGCGCCATGACTTGACCGTGTTCCTCTAATAAATGTACAAAATGAGTGACAAGGTCACGGTGGCGGTGAATCAGGCGATGGTACATACAAACAGTTGTACCAACAGAAGAAGGAAGGAGTGAAGTTGCAGCAGCTGGTCGTGAATAGTGGATGGCTGATGAAAATTCAGGAGAACAAGTCGTCACTGGCAATGTCTTCCTTCAACACAAGAGAAAACCTTGGAGAATTCAATTGCAGGAATGAATTAAGATCTCTTGTCTCTTGTTGGATTCATCAGCCGTACCGCCTATATTGGGGTAAACAGAGATCTTGGTAAATCCTAGGGGCTTCTGCAATGGAAATTGAAAGAAAGAAACATGTAGTAACGGCATAAGAGATGATATGCAAAAGGAAATGGCCTGAAGTCGCAAATGCGCTCAGGAATGACAAGTCGATTCCACCAAAGGTGGACTTCTGGATGTAATGAAGCTGAATACTCTCAGGCATCGTTTGGATTTTGCCAGAATGGGATTGTGGGCGCCTGAGGCACTAAGATCCCGATCTGCTATCGCGGGTTGCCATAGCAATCAGGCTGTCATTCTGGGTGTCACTGCAGCCCCGCCACACAATGCCATTTCTGTCAATTGCGGATATTCAATTCCTGAAGACAAGAAGCTTGTGTATTGATGCTGTTAGAAAGCCAACTAATTCGGGAAGACTGCAGTTCTGTTCCTCATGAAGTTTTACAGCTTGGCGGCAAGCGCAGCAATGCAAACCTCGGACTTCGCTGGTTAACCGCTTCTACGAGCGCTTTGAAAAGACTCCTACCGTTGAAAGCCACAACCTTAGGGCGTGGTTTTCAAACTATGACCTACGATCTGGACCACTATTGAAGCATGGCTACTCTAGTTATGGTGAGGTATAAAGGTGATTTGATTTCATATTTTACGGCCTCCGCGAATATGCCAAAGGCAAGTCTTTCGTCGTGCAAGTGCGACGTATCAATTAGTTACACATTCTTCCTTGATGAGATTCACATGTCCTTCATATTGAGTGCCTGGAATGTACACGGCCGATGAGGAGTCCTCGACTTATTCAAAGTTTGCATTAGCAGCAACATACTCATCAGCCTCGTCCTGGCCACCCTTGTGCTGGCGCATCTTTTCATAGTCGATATACGCGGGATCAGGCACTGGGTTGCCGTCCTTGTCCACGGCGGTCTCGAAGTTCTCAACTGGCGTCCACTCCTCGCCAGCATGAGTAGCCCTCGCAACCCTGCTTTGAGCCGAAGCACCCTGATCTTGCATCCGAGCTACAGCCTTCTTGTCTTGGGTGGTTTGGTTGCGCAGACGACGGGTCTGGTTGTCCCTCTCAGGGAAGCGAACAGCGGTGTCAGTTTTTGATCCTCCCATTTTGACTGTTCTGTGTGATCTAAGAAGTTAGTATCAGCTGGCAAGAATTTTTAAGTCCTCCTGCTGAAGGTTGTCCTCAAGATGACGGACGTGGGCGAGCTAGCAGATCTTACTCACCAACCAATGTTATTCTGGTTCAACTTCGATATTTCAGATGTGTTTGAAGAACAAAGGGGGTTGCCCCTGATTTGTCTCTGTTATATTGGATCACACAAGGGAGGTGGCGTTGATGACACGGTGATGACGCCCACACTCAGCAACATCAGCTTCTCCGCACAGAGATATCATTTGTGGCCATTCCATTTGCAGCCATCATTTGTGCCACTGATTCTTTGATATTCTCAAAGGGCAAATGTCATGACTTGGCTGTTGTATGAGTGATATCATTTAACTTCCTTTGGACTAGAGTCGCGTGCCAATCTTACGGCGAACGGCTGCGCGATTTACTCCTGAGGGATTTGCTAGCTTATTCCATTCACTATCATATGAGGATGCAGCATGTTGAAGCAGCTGTGCCGAACACAGTATGGGTTGCTTGCTTAGGGTAATTGTGTCACTGAAGTTAGTCGCCATCCCAGGTGCCATCCTCTGTACGCCCTTTCTCGACCATATGCGGACGACTCGAAGGTGGTGGACTGGCCTAGATCTTGAGACATACTCCATTCCTAAATGCTCTAGATAGCGCATAGCTCGGGACTGATCTCGTCCCGGTATGCTCAGATGGTTATTTTCATCTGGTGCTTGTTTGTCGTGCGATCCAATTGTCTTGTTGCCTTGTCGCCTTGGAGCTTTGACACCTTGACAGCACAATGAAGTCATCAATCAATGCATCATGTAGAGAGGTACTAGACTTCAAATGAATGTCCACTCATTCTCAAATCTATATTCCAACAATCTCTGCCGGGGACCGACAACTACGGAGCGAAATATGCCCCGACCTCAGCCCTATGTATGCGGGGAGGTGGGCCCTACCCACATTGTTCTTACTACTGGCAACTTCTTCAGCCTTTTTGACGACGATGCATTGACAAATAACAATCCAGCATTTGGAGGTCATATTCGCAATCGGAGCTCTCGATGAGCACACCTGCCTTTTTATGAATAGCTTCAAGACTAAAAATCAGGCAGCGAATAACTTGCCGATCTTGTCATAGCTGCAGACCAGACTAGTACGGAGAGAGTAAAAGACGTGTTACTGGTCGGATATTCTCCGGTTTTCTTGTTTCCCTTATCCGCGCAAATTTTCGCCCTCGGCCAGCTCCGCCGCTGTCGCTTCGGACGATTTATATTGACACTTGACATCCGGCTACGGAGGGTATTACGTCCACCGTAAGGATTACATCTTCAAAACCGAATCTGGCTGTGCTCTGCGACAATGGCCGACAAAACCGCCGGTGCGCCTGACCTAGAAGCGCACCCCCAGCAAGGGGACCAAGTGTCGCAACAACCCCAAAAGCAACGAGCGACCTTCGCTCAGCGCTGGACACAATCCGTCGATCCCACCTACGCGGACCTCATCTGTCTGCTCCTCGCCCTGACCACAGGCCTCTGCGACAGCAGCGCCTACAATGCCTGGTCCTGTTTCCTCGCCATGCAGACGGGTATGACTCACTCACCCCCCAGCATTATCTTCCCAGATCTAACACAGCACAGGAAACACCATCTTCCTCGGCCTCGGCGCCTCGGGCCAACCAACCAGCAAACCGTGGGGCTGGCTCAAGTCGCTCACCTCCATCGCCTCGTTCTTCATCGGCGCGCTGATCTTCTCGAACGTGACGCGTCGCACGGGCGCCCGCCGCCGCGGCACCCTCGTCACCTCCTTCATGGTGCAGACCATCCTGATCGTCATTGCCGTCGCGATCATTCAGGCCGATCTGATCCCGCATACGGTGGAAGACGCCGCGCTGACGGGCGGCCCGCTCTTCCTCGAGCTGATCCCGATTGCGCTGCTGGCGTTCCAGTCTGCGGGCTCGATCACGTCCAGCCGCGCGCTGGGGTATAATGAGATTCCGGCGGTTGTGCTGACGAGTGTGTACTTCGATGTTGCGTCTGATCCGAAGCTGACGGCTGCCCCGGCGTCGAATGTGAAGCGGAATCGGAGGATCGGAGGGGCGGTGATGTTGCTTGTTGGGGCGATTGCGGGCGGGTGGTTGAGTCGGAGCAGTGGCGGGATGCAGTCTGCGCTGTGGATGGCGGCTGGGTTCAAGTTTGTGATTGGACTGGGGTGGTTGTTTTGGAAGGCTGAAGGGAAGTAATCGACTGAGTGTACATGTACCTTACATTTAGATATACTTGATACCTACATAGATAGATGCATATAGAAAGTAGACTAGACTTGTCAGTGTCAGTGACATGCAGACAACCAATCCATCCGCAGTACTTCGGTAGTATCCGTACCCCTGAGCTAAGTACCATCTCCAGGGAACTATCTGTCCTAATACCCATGGTAAGGTAGTACCTGAAAATCCTCAGTCTCACTCCGAAAACACCACCACATAAACACGTGGTTGCACATGCACACTGCATAAGGCCTAACACATGGCCAATAACTCACCTAAGCACTAGTGCTCCGTCGAGGTAATCCATCAGTAAATTACCTCAGGTACATTCCCGTCTGTGTAAGTTACCTACCTACCTTCATATACTAGCGTAACCCATAATAACCGGCATAGCCTGTAATAACCGTGCATGCATAGTCTCCGGAAACGGGGATTCGCTCCTGCAGTCCGGCGGACCTAGCACTAGCAGAACAGGAACAGGAGCAGATCTAGGGAGGGGTAGACATAGACAGTACGGAGTAGACTAGACTAAGCGCTACACTATTGCATCTGAGGGGTAAATGCCAACGAGCACTAGGAATGGTGATCACTGCCGCGACGCAGGCCACATCACATCACATCGTGTCATTTCACATGGCTGGCGCATGAACCGGCTTCGTTAGGTTGGGCCAGTCAGATGACATCAGATTTGAGTCTACGTTAGTTCTGGATAGTGGAGGGGTAAGACTACGACTACGACTAAGATTGCCTTGGTATCTGGTATCTTCCCAGATGATTACTGTAAGAATATGATGGCACCAAGAATGCTATGCTATGCTCTGGTGAAACCTGCCAAGTGATAAAAGTGTAAAATTCAAGTCTATCGGTACGATGGTAGTTGGTGTCTATGACGCGGGTCTTGACGCAAAGAGCAGAAAACAAACAAAGGAAAGACAAGACCAGACATGCGCAGTAAGGAATGAATAAAACCAACCGTGCCCGAGACGGAGAGAACGCAAAATGGTATCATCGAAGTGAAGAGAAAAAGCAAAGACTCCCAACTTGCGTAGAGGAATGCAAACGACTCCCGCACCGGACAAGAGCAAAAGCACATACCCGTCCCAGGAATGAGTCAGAGAGAAACAGTCAAAAAAGGGCGCCAGAAACCGACAAGATGATTCGCGCTGATAGCGTCGGCATGGGTGTTTGATGCCGCTTGTAGTCGGGGAAGAGGTATCAGAACCGCAAACGAGCAAATCCAGTGCCAAACCAAACGCGCTCAAAATGCATCCGACATGTTTGAAAAATGGATTAAACCTGGCAGAAGGCGAGAAGGCAGAGGCGTCGCCGCACTTGCGAACAGACACTGATTCTTAGAAGGTAGAAATTGCAGAAAAAAAAGCAAAAGAAAACACAAACTTTTTGTAAACCGGTTGACGGTTGACGCAAATAGGCAGATAGGGGGAAATGTAGGCACTGTCGGGCTAAGACGACGACGGTCTTCGGAGGATCTCTTCGCAGTTTGCATCAAACCGCATGTTCCACACCCGGATGCTGTTCATCAACTTCTCCGTGTTCTCCAACTCGCGGTCGCGACCGAAAATCGACTCGACGAATTCACAGCCGGCATTCCGGCCCATCGAGAGGGGGCCTTTGCCACCATTCTCCCGCTTGGCTGCCTTCCACATGAACTGCTCACATGTGCGCAGTAGCTTCTTGAACCGCGCCCACAGGCGTTCGCCACTCTCCAAGAAATCCTCCACGATCTCCTGCGCCTCGGGTCGTTTGATTCGATCCAGGCACTCGTCCGCTCGCTTCACTTTACCCGCCAGCTTGATCAGAAGCAACCACAAGTCGCCCGCCACGTCGGCCATCGGGGTCGAGGCACCGTGGTGGAAAACGGTCCAGTCATAGATCCACTTGCCCAGCGAGTTCGCATCGAAAACACTTCCCAACAGAATGATAGGCGACTCGGTCGGGTCCCAATTCTTGATCGAATAGCCCGGCGGAATTCCGGCACGGGCGGCGTCCTCCTCGGTCGCCTTGGGTGGTACCTTGGAGGTGGCGGACGGCTTGGGCTTGGACGGGGTGCGCGTGGAGGTGGACTGGCGGCGCGCCCGCGATCGCTTGGGGGAATCATGGTCGTCGTACGCGGGGACCTGGGGAGAGGAGAAATATGGATCAGTGGGTGGCCTTGCCTTGCGTTGAGACGACGACGGCTGGCGACGCGGCTGGGCGTAGCTGTCCCGCTTGGGCGTAACGGGCGGTCGGTCATCAAACACATCGTCGACCACATCCACAAAGATGGAGGAGGGACGTTGTGCCGACGGATACGGTGTCTCATAGAAATGATAACCGGTCTTGTCCCAGAGGCCGGTCGCGCTGGACCTGGCCCGGGGACGACGACAGGATGCATAGCCACCAGAAAAAGCACTTACATTTTCGTGCTTGCGTGGCGGCGTGCCATATTCCGGCATCGCTTCATAGAAGCTCTGGCCGTACCCGGAATGCCAGGCTCCCGATTCCTTGGGGGCGGCGTAGCTGGCCTTGCGATTGTGGCGCTTCGACGTGCCTCGAGGAGAAACGTAGGGATTCGCAAATTGTGTCGCATAGTAGGCGTAGTGAGGAGACGTGGGAGGAGAGTTCATGTAATCGAACGAGGACCACCCAGGCGGTGGTTGAGCGTAGTGATACATTATCGCCAGAGCATGGAAAATCGAGGCGCTAATAGATCGTAACCACGAAAGGGATATAAACGCTTGTAAATGGTGATTTCAGAGCAAATAGAAAAAAAAAAAAAAAGAAAACCTTGCGATCAGAAACAGCTCAACAGACGACTGAAACAAAACAACCCAGAGTATATTGTACAGGATATCGTTCGAAGCAAGCCGATCGACGCCGGAGATGAAACGAGATAGCAGACAGCAAGACCTAAAGATGAGGACCGTCACCGCGGTACGGTTTGCAGGGGAGAGGAGGGTTGAAATTGTGTTTGCTGAGAGTGCATTTGAGCGTCGTCGGTTGACCGATCGCTGAGTCAAGGGGCTATGTATTGCTTCGTCGTCACCAGGAGGCGAACTTCACACAAAGTCTCAGTGTGAGAATTCCAGCTGAGCGATATTCCAAGATATTATTATACCTAGAATATCGAATCGTCTTGTGGCGAGTTCGAGTTTCTAATGCTGGTAATCCTCGGAACTGGCCCAGGAACTATTCAAGGTTATTTTGTCACCGAGAAGACAACGTGGAGGATGAATATGAACCCAAGTAGGGCGGATAGGATAGGTTTTGGTGCAAAGGGGGTTTTTGACGGGATATCATTTGGTTTTGTAGGAATCAAGGCACCCGCCGTGGCATTACCAGCGAAATAAGCGGGTGTGGTGGGGCTGTATCTCTCAGGTAATTAATATTGGGGTTAATGAGGTAATATTGTACGCCGTAATCTTCGTCTTACTGTACTTCGGCTCGACCTTTTTTTTTTTTTTTTTTTTTTGTTTTTTTAGTTAAATAACGAGTAAGAAAGGTATTTTATGATTGGGCGCGAGGCGAGAAATGAAGATCAGGATTCCTGACTGGATCTAACTTGACATTTTTGGGCCCAACCACAGTGGCTGAGGGAAAGGGGGCAGGCGCCTATTCTATGAATAATATCGACAAGCTGTGGGTTTTTGATGCTTTTATATCATATGCCTGGGATTCGGTAGGATCATACGCAGAGTCAGCTACGTAATGACTTGCTCCAAAGTATCTATATGGCTCGAAATGAAGTCCCATCGAGTCATCTCTAGAGCCACATCATCCCCTGCGTTCGAGTCATCTTGATTCCTAACATTGTTGGGCACCGTATATCGTATTGATATTCTGGAGGGCTCAAATGTCAGTAGGCCTTCAACCAACCAGTGTATATGACTGTTCCACCATCGCAGCATTATAAGAGTCATTCTGACTCATCTACTTGCTAGTTTCCTCTTCAGCAGTTCATATGATACCTATAGCAACGGCATCTTCATGTGCTTCTTCCCCTGTGTACCACTGGAGCCTGAAGACACGACCTATATGAGCCAATCCTACTATTGCCACTGTGGCTCAGCTGATTATGATCACTGTGCCATTGGAGGGGATACAGCTGAATGCTTGAATCTTTAAATCTACACACAGATAAACTCGCCAAGATGGTGGCCATAGAATGCATCCAGGGCCTCGAGCGTCTGCAACATGCAGCATGCTATGCTCAGCCTTGGTTGGATGATAGGAATGGTAATCATCCTCGTGCAACGAAACAATATAATATAGGATATAAATACTTGTCCAATGTCAACATAAGGTACTGGAACATGATGGGTTGTCCCATGGATGTGCTACGGGTCACTTCCGAGAGCCTTCCATGGTTCGCACTTCAGTATATCCAGCAGACTATTTTCTCGATAGTTGATAGATTAGATCGAGTGGAGCCATATGGCATTTTTATTCCTGACTACTGACGACAGTCTTTGTAGCTTGTACAAAAGTACGACAACTTATTGGGCAACAGGCTGAGGCAACAGGTGGTCGATGGGCTTTACCGCTGCGACCAGCTGGGCAGCAACCCGGCAACGGAGATGGGCAGACCGCAACTTGGTTAGTATCTGGTAGATCAGAACAAACAGCAAGAGGGGAAATAAAAAAACCTTTTTAAAAAAGGGTTGACTCAGTTTCAGTCGCAGGTAAAAAAAAATCTGCCCGGATCCAAGCTACTGGGTAGATAGGTAGATAGTACAGCACATGTGAGTCGTCCGCACTCAAAATATCCATACAATATTGCACCTGAAAATGTTGCACTGGCGCTACACAGGCACCCAGCTGATTTTATCTGCCTTGCGACCAGCTAATTCGACAGTAAGTATTGAAAGTCTTCTAGAAAATTTCCCAATCCTGAGATGGTCTGGCCTGAAGTGTGTAGACTATGAAAGAAGGAAAGAAAATCAATAGGGCCACTATTGATATCAACAATTCCTGCGCACCAATAGAAAACATCTATCTACCATCCTTCGACTCCGTAATCACCTGAGACTTGAGATAACTCCAGAACCAAAATTAATCCAGACTGGGCCGAGACCCCTGAAGCCCAGGCAGACCATTTCTCTCCAATCTCTGTCTGAGGGCTCAAGAACAGGCTCTTTAACGTCGTACAGGGCGTCAAGTTTCCATGTGCTAGAAGACGAGTCCGACTTTGTGCTGCTGATCAATTCTAATGGATTTGGTTGAAGTAATAGCATTACTCTCGCAGTAACCAATTCATAAGCATTCAATGGAGCGAGTCAGACCGAGACCCGCTAAGACCTTCTAGCGCCGGCGCCAACGGCTCAAGTGCAGATGGATGTCATCGTTCGAAGGAACTTGACTAGTACGGAGTATGGAGGAGACCCCACTGCCTTAGCTTCGTCCAGGACCCAACAGGTTCCAGTTATCCAGTCTAGTCAACGGAGTACATCTCGGAATTTATGTGTGGGTGATAACAAGAGGACTTACAAGTACCATGCATTAGGTTCTCTCCGGTAGAGGTGCAGGACAGTCTTCCTGTCTAGGTAGGTAGTCAGCGACTGACTTTGAACCACAGAAATTTCAGAGTCAGGCTTCTGTAGGAAATACAATACTTTGTGAGTTTCCTACCAGACAGACAGACAGACAGACAGACAGAATTTTCACTATCCCTTGCTTGTACAGGGTCAAACACCAGACATTAATATAACTACTCTGTTCCTTTGCTCGATAGTACTCCTTATTATGATTTGGAATCCTGCCAGTGGACAATAATGTGTGGTTGTATAGTGGTATACAGTATACTCCTGTTATGCACACTGCCAAGGTTCTGGTCATGATTACACGGGAATTGGTAATCCATGTATCGAAAGTACCAGGCTGTACCAGCTTGTACGAGGTTGTTCTACAGTACTCAGTTCTTTACGACGGCAGTCCTGCATACTCAATCACATTTTTCAGCAATCCAAGTTTTGATGAATTCAATGGACAGTTCAGTCCTTGGTTTTGTGTTGTTTCAGTAAGATAGCTGTATAGATTTGGAATTCTTCATGTAAGCATTTGGTGCTCTTGTTTGAAACAGAGCGCGTCGGAATGAGCTTGCAGGAATTCTAGATGGCAGTGCGCGTTCGTGTATCTAGGGCTGCAGTGTTGCCCTTGCCCTATGCCCTAGGCATTATACGAAGAATGCGAGATCATCGTCTCAAGTAGAAAGCATTGACCTTTGATTCCTGGCTCAGATTGAATTAGGATACTGGATGTCTTTTGTGGTCTCATGCTTAAAAATTGTTGAGGCAAGATATACACGTTAGTACAACTAGACAAAAGTGAAGATTCCTACCCAGAGGTATCTGAAAATGGATAAAGATGGATACCTCCCTATTAGTAAAGCAAGGCGAGTCATCAATATGGACAATGACGAAATGCGAATATCACAAAGCATTCAGGGTCATTGCCGTGAGCTCAATGCATCCACATTGGAATTGTCAGTGTATGAAGAATTTGATGATGTCACGAAAAGTAGAGAAGTCTGCGTAACTTACCTTGTTACATCTGGGGATTATGTCAGAACAGCTCCATCACCTCAATTCCAGCTTCAAGACACGGATATTGAAGAGCAGGCTTCTGTGATCTGGGATTCCTTCATTACTCATACGGCAAAGCATGCTCACTTGTAAAGCTAGAAGGCTGTATAGGTCTTGCTTGGCGCGTTGCTTCAAGATGGTGATTGAGTCGTAAGGCAACCAAAGACAAGAAAGGACTTTTCTTCAATCTGTTCTGTAAGAATCGGATGAGGAAAAACAATGGCGTGCATTACCCAGATGACTTCTGCTCGCTTAGTGCCTGGGCTGGACGACACACCATCGGTTGAAATCGACGAACTGTGTCATGCCATGCTCACCAGATTCCATGCTAAGCATCGCATCTGGCGCGTACTCGGCCTCGAAGCCTGTACACTTTCGCGCAACGAGACCCCTTACATGCCCTGTGGTCTGCCGCACGGAACAAAGCCACAGCGGGTACTTGCCGAAGAAATCATCGAGGTGGTCAATCAACTGTTCTGCAGCTGCGTAGGCACGAATGTCTTCGATAGCATGCTCCTTCACGAGCCTGCTGCTTCAGAGGCTGAAGAGTAAAGTCATTGCTCACATGCATATTGAACCCAGGATCAGTCGGATAGTAAATGTCCGCATCCGAACTGCCGCAGTAGCGGCACGACTTTGATTGTCCCCGCGCAGATGACACACTTGACTTTGCTGAACGTATTGGTACGCGGCGTCAGTTATACCCTTCGAGATGGGATAGGTCAGTTAAACGAGGATTCGGCCGGCAACTCGAGTAGACTCATATCTCTATGCATCAATTCTCTTTCTGAGACGCAGTAAATAGACACGAGTACTACCTCTCAGCATTTGCGCGGTGGCGGCTGTTCATTCAGCAAGTGAGCCGTTTCATTTGAGCAGAACTTCTCGAAAGCCCACCTGGAGTGTTTTGGATCATCCAGACATGATTGTTGATGCTGATGGAAAGCATTCTATTCCTCGCAACGAGCTCTTCAGAGGGGAATGACAGGAGGGTCCAGATAGAACGAAGAGCTCAGAAAAAGTCTTGTCAATGACTAGAAAATGTATCAACATAGACCTAGGATCAAATTCCTCTAAGAGATGCAGTATCTCGAGCCTGTCATCTCCTTGCACTCGACCACATCGGTCAGGACTCGTGAGCGTCCACTGCAGTCCCAACGATCTACCAAACCTTTACGGCAATTGAACATGCCGTGGGTGGATGACAATAATCCGCATGTCAGGTATACCTGTTCTGGCCGGAATGACATTATTTACGCCAGCATCAGTGTGTGGCGTCTAGGGTACCGGGTACTTGCATATCGGATTCCGAAAATTAGAAGAGAAACCCTATCGGAAAACAAACGGTATGTATCTTGAACTCTGCCTGACATCAAAGTCACTACCTAAGAGTCTGGTATTTCCACGACCCTTACCAAAATTTATATATATACATGAAAACCCCTTCGCGAACAGACTGGAACCACCCTGTACGAACTAGTCTAAAAGACACTGGAGGCTGTCGTAGCGAATAGGATCCCACCCTATTTCCGCATCCGCATGATTTCCAGAACAAGAACGAAAACGACCCCTCATGATCCTGACGATCGAGTACCGGCAGATGTAGAACCAGAGTGTCATGTACGCTGCACGGACTTGACAGTTTGCTGGGCTGCGTGTCTAGTGCAGGAATAAGGCATCAAGTGTGGAGGTCAAGGGTTAGCACCCCGCAAATAAGCGGGTGACACGCTGGCATAGCAATTGTCAGGCTTGAGATGCGTCAGGCATGTTGGCCAACTACCTAATATAGTTAGTTGACTTGATGATTCTCGAAGGTGGTTAATAGTTGATGGTCGGCCAAGTAATTTGTAATTGGTTATTCATGGAATAGCATTATGGAAAGAGAATGCGCCCTCGTAGTATGTACATGGAATTATCAGAAAAGTATGTTCATGAATATTGCATAGATAGCTTCTGTCGTGTCCGTGATCGTCAAAAGCGCATAGATCATTGACCTTTTGGCGCCTGGGGTATATACAACGTGGTGTGTAAGCTGGGTGATTCGGTCAAACTACCAGATACTCTCCCTCTGCTCGTTTAGCTTGCATCACCTCATGCCAGCGGAAGCCCTGCATACGCGAACTGGATGTTGCCGGGTATACAGAGCCCACTCCCGTAAAGAAATCACTGCCCATTACCGCAGATGGCGCCATCTCGAAACCATAAAGCGCTCTGCTGTCCCATTGCACAGATACTGTTTGGGTATCGCACATGTCCTGCGCCCAGATCTTCTCCAATAACTCAAGACACGTTAGATTGTTGAAGAAACCAGAGTCTTGAGAGATATCTCTGCAGCGCTGTCGAACTGTGTCTCGATGGCTCTGGAGTACACACTCCGATCCGGTGATGAAGAGCGGCCATAGCAGGTACACGTCCGACTTGACCAGCGAAATATGGTGCATCGCACGGTGCACTAGGTGTTGAATACGAGGATGACTCGAAGGAAGTTCTGGGTAGGCGAGTCGTTCGCTGTAGAGTATTGCCGAATGGCGAAAGGATTCCGAAATGTGGAATACGTCATCAATGTTCTGAGGCGCGACAGCATATTGCGTAGATGGCGAGGATGGTGGAGAGATGTAGGCTTGAGCGGAAGAAGGAGTTGAGATATGGACCGAACCACGCGGTGATGTGCACTCCCATCGCGAGGGCGCAAGTCGCCAGGCTTCTAATTGCTGCCGGAGTGCGAACCACTCGGCCCAGAATGCTGGCGACAAAGCTCGGCTGCTTCGCTCAACCGCCTGTGATTGTATTGGCATGGTAAAGCTGAAGGAGGCGTTCATTCCCGGAATACCGGTGGCCATCGATGCGTCGAAGAGTAGCGATGGTGGCAGAGACGTTGTGGGAACAAACACTTCAGGAAGAGCAGGCGTGCTGACCTCTTGCTTCTGGCTCAGGAGATTCAGGCGACCGAGTTGTGCAATATACTTGAATAAGCCGGCATCACAGCCAGTCAGATTCTCAAGGCCCCATTCGCTGTCGGAGACTGCAGCAATATCCAGGCATGTGCCGCGCAGCTGTATCTCGCGGTCATTGGTCGTGGCAGCCATCGTGTCATACCAAGTAAATACGCGGATGAACCACTTCAACTCATCGGAAAGGACCGGCGAACTGCGCATTCGGAGGGCCAGAAGCTTGGTCACACCTGCGAGTTGCGTTTTGAACTGCGCCACACCAGTATCGCAGGCGTGAAAGAGGCAGAGGATGAACAAGGTTGCCAGAACGGAATCGGACATCCTTCGATGGGGATCGGCGAGCTCCATATTCAATGCTTTCACCGCCAAACCTCGATGATATTGCTCTTCGCGGGCGAATCCTTCAGACGTTAAAGTATCCTGAAACTCTTGGCAGGTTCCATCGGTCAGTGCTCGATGTGCCAAGGATGACATGCGTGAAGGGAGCGTCCTGTCTGTCGGCATGGTTTTTCTCTCTCGTCGTTGCCGTAGATTGCTAGTGGCCAGCGTTGCGATGGCCTCCTGCAGGGACTCGCTGTCCTGGGCTAGACGCAAAATATGAGTGCGGAACGGATTCGTTGGGCTATCGAAAGCTACAATGACCGGCGCAATGACTTCCGCGTAGTAGCTTATCAAGTATCTCAGACGGGGTGTGCGGCCAACCGATCGTGCAAGAAGCATTTGAGAAAATGAAGGCGAATGACGTGCAATCCGTCGAGGATTGCCTGAGGGCTCTGAATCCGTTGAACTTTTGCCAGCTCCTTCAAGGTCTACAGGTTGTGAAGCAGTACAAGCTGGTGTCACCTGCCATTGTTCGAACATAGAAGTGGTTGACGTTGGCCAGCTTTCTGTCCAAGCATTGGTTTGAAGGGAAGAGTGATGATTCGCCACTTGGACTGTCTGCATATATTGTACCGAAGAGTTCGTAGGGATCGAGTGTCTCAGCGACTCTGTATAAGGAGGACTAGGGTCAACAACTGGCGGATTTCCAAACGAGAAATCAGCCGCTGGAGTCGTCGGCCAGGCTCGCGGGTCCGCGCCCGTTCTCATCCAACTTGCATTCCGATTGGTGTCCGGACTCGGCAATCCCTGCGATTGAAATGTGGCTCTTTCTACATTGTCGGATGCAGTGGCCGGTGATGCATCAGAGGCAAAGGTATATGTAGTTGGCGATGCGACCGGCTGTCCCGACGGGTTCTCCTCGCCCCGGGAACGACGACGACTATCTCCAGTCGCAGCTGGTTGTGCTCCAGTGATCGGAAGAGACAGTCCTCGAAATTTGCCTCTACTGGCAACACCCACACCCCAGGTTAACGTGGTCTTGTATCCCGCACAATCCCGTCCACGGTTCAGACACTGTGAACAATATGGCCGTCGTCGGTCACAGACTGAACCCTCCCGGGTACATGTGAAGCAGTCATCTGCTGCACCACTCACAACGGTCCTCTTTCGTCGTTTCCTGGGAGCAGCAGCGGAGGTCGACTCGGATTTGCGAATCGGGGGTTGACAGGCCGGCTCCATGCCCGCGATCCCAAAATCGGTGTTGGGATTTGGGAACCGTTGCCGCCGTGCGGAAACAAGGAGGGTGATCGTCAAGGAATCAGCAGGATGGACCCGGAATGCGGGGGTCCATTGATAGTTTATCGGGCTGTCGGTAACGAGTAGATGAACGATCGGCACAGCAGATTCGGACGGTGTTTGCTGTGCTTGTTGGAGCGAGAGGAACCGGAAGGACGGGAAACAAAGTGAGGAAATACAAGGGGAGAGAAAAATCAAGCCGTGTCAAGGAGAATAAAGATGATGAAAGAGTTGAAGTCTAAATCTATCCGGTCTTAGACCGCTCATTCTGCTCTGACGAGAAAATCGCCCCAGTCACAGAGTGGCAGAGGATGAGAGATGGGCTTAATGAAACTAAGGAGATTAACCAAGGCTGACGAAAGTCGGTCGAATTGGAGACGGACGGCCTGAGGGCTGAGGCTTGATAAGCAGTCCGTCTCCAAGACTCCAACTTTCCCCACGGCGGCTTCATCCGCCCTTCTGCGGCCAATGGTCTTTGCATCAAGAGCGTGGCCACACTGTGACATCTGGCGATAATATCATCCTTTGAGCATCTAGAGACAAGCATCTATCCAATAGAAACCAAAGACATGCATAATTGGACCCTGAGGCCTGAAGAACAACATCCTTTGAGGTAGAGCTTCGATCACTAGGTACTAAGTCACTGCCTCCTCACTAAGGAACTAGTGCAGATTGGTTGGTTTACCCAGCACGTTTGATTCGCTCCATGATTATCCAGACCTGAATGATTCATGCTGAGCGGCAAATGCTGTCCATCAATAAAACGCCGAAATACCCCGTGGCGGACATTTAGCGTTGATAAGGCCAAACTTATGGAGTACAAATGAGTATAATAAGATTATGCTGTTCAGAGAGCAAAATGACATGGATATGCCTCTCCTTTCTTTGGATAGGAACAAGAGAGCCATGCCAGATGGGCTATGACCACACCCTTTTTCTACTCTCGTCGGGGCTACACACTACAATCAGCTGTGATGTTACTATGTATTAACCTTGGTAAGTAATTAGATCTAATGATCCGCCAGGTGTGTAAGTAGTCAAGGTTTGTAGGAGCATGTATCTATCCTCCAGTCTATTCAATTCACTTAGTATTCACCTAGTGTACCATACTAGGCTGATGGTAAATGAATGTCTTAACAGAGTGATAGAGAGAATTAGTAGGATATAAGATCATAGAACACCTGAATTTGTATAGCAGACTTAAAGACTTATAATAGGTACCTTCTTAGGGAAAGATTATGTATTGATTCTCTTACAAAAACCTCCAGTCAGTAATGTAGAGAAAATAAGGAACATTCTAGAGAGGTACTTGTGCTCACTAGCATTCGTCCTTACACATTTACTACACTGATTTAGAGTGAATGTCCTAGCAGTTTCAATATTGAATGCTCTAAACCTAAGTGAAAGATCTTTCCTCATATTAGCTTGCTTTAAGTATAAATTTCTCCGTTCCCCCTGCTCGCCACTTTTCTTCTTCTCACTATCTTTAGAAAAGCCTCTTACCCTGATGTCTCTATTCTCCCACAAGCACAGCGCATAGTTTCAGACGCTGGGTTTCAAGTCACCTTGTCCCAGTTGGGCATATCATGTCTTTCCCGGCCATGGGGCTCCCTGGCCCAGCAGTGATTTCTCTACTTGTGAAGTGTTAATCTTCCACCAGATTACCACGTGGGAGAAACCGCCTCAGGACTCAGTCTTCATCAAGTGGGTGGTTGGCCGTCAGCGTCGGAGATGACAGTTAGGGCATCTCTTCCAGCAAGAGCGCTGTGGAAATTCTACTACGCCAACTGGCTCAGATATGGAAAGAAAATAGGTGGTCCTCTTGTGAAGCCGGTCAGGGTGCAAATGATACTCTAAGAGACAATAAGCAAAGGTTGGAATATCTACGCGATTTTAAGAAGAATGCAGTACAGAAAATGGCGACAGATACAGTTTACCTTGACGCGATCATTTCAGCTCCGCATCATAAACGACAAATCAGCGGACCAGCTCTGAAGATAATATATAATCAAGGACAGGAGCAAAGTCAAAGAAAGGCAGATCTCCAACGTCAATAGTAAAAGACTAATCAGCGGACGAACTATTGACTCTGAGATACAGAGCAACGACCCTATCAATGATGATTCTGTGCATGCTTATGCTTTGCATAGCTTGGCAGGCGGACAAGCAAACCATGAACATGGCTCTTGTGAATTTCCTCGACATGCTCATCCTGGAGACCTTTGTCACCTGGCTTGCGGCGCAACATGCTAGGGGAAGCGGCTATGTCCATCAAGGCCCAGCTTCTTATGCTCGAACGCACAAGCTATTGCTACAGCGGACCGTAATGAATGCTATGGTCTGCCGCAACTGTCTCCGGATTCCATGTACTCCACGAGATTGAATCAGCCGAGAAAGAGGCCGCTTGAGCCATTCCTTGTGGTCCCCAACACCATGACTCTGCTGCACGTTCCGTTTCGGACTCTATTGCAGGAATCAGCCAGTCAAGAGCTCATATATCAACCAAGGTTCCATACAAGGATGCAATTGCTGAATAGCGGTCGTTATTATACAGGCAAAGTGTGCTCCACACACCTCTAGTGTCCCGGTCTCTCAATACAGTCATGGCATTCCTACAGATTTTCACTATCTTGAACGCAACACTGTGAAGCCCACAAGTGGGCTGGCTGGAACGGTACCACACACCGAACATCGAGTTGGAGAGTCTCCCCTTCAGTTTCGCTCGACGAGTCTCTTCTGGCAGACATTGATGCCTGTCTCGCCCTCCACAGCCAAGTGGAGCTGGCTGCAGCGCACAATTCTGCCGGAGATGACTCGGACGACATCTTGACCTACGAATGTGGATGATGATGGACATTCATTGCAGAATGTCAAGGCACTACGACCCCCGACCTGCGTAGCAGATATCGACGAATCTCGAGCGTCTAACACAGAGCAAATGCACAGACTACGAAGAAGACTCCGACTCAGGCATCGACTTATTGTCTTCTGGTGTACAGCACCCAACCGCCGGCAGTGATAGGGCCTCGATCAGCCATCCATAGCAGGTTTCATTCACTAATGTTAAGATCATAGGTACAGTCTGTGAACAAATACAGACGTCTTCTCATGGGCGGTTGGTTGAACAGGTTAACCCCAAAATAGCATATTCCATCAGTGTCCTCGGCGAAGGGAATGACGGCACATTAGGAGCCTCATGCAGTTGAATGTAGATGGGCCAATCCGGCTCGGCTTAATCACAAAGACCATGGACATGGCACCGATCCGACCACCCCAAGCCCTTGGAGATATGCTGATGGATCGGGCAGACCAGACGATGTTGATAACTGGAAAGCATTTAATGTACGGAGTAGTAATCGTTGAGAACAACTGATGTTATGTGCATAAAATAAACCTAACAAGTGATCTTCAGTTGACTAAAATCTTGGCTGCTTTTTCTTAGGTCGGCACTAACCTGAAAAAGGGGGCAGCTACGGGTGAGAATGGACCAGATTATTGTCGATTGCAGAAAGTCATCGGCTTGAGGTTTTTCATTCTGTTTTCTATACTTGAACGCTACAAATACTGGCTGGAATCCTCCATTGGCCATCTAAAATGCCCGTGTTACTCTGATCTGGTCAGTAGTTGCCATCGGTGTTGTCCGTTTTCACCCGACCTCAACGACTCCATGTCCGCAACGCTTCTTGAAAACGTTCGGTCAAAACTTCTCTTCAAAACGGCTGACTGACGAACTGCAAACATGGCAACATTCCGGTTCGGTCGATTGAGGTCACTCCTCCTTGCCACGGGCGCTATTTTTCTCATCTCGACCTTTTATCTGTACTGGACCCCGGCACCAGCATCCGTGGTCCCCAGCACCGCGTTCGAAGTTCCTCTGACCGAACGTCAGATTGCCTTTTGGAAAGCCTTCAAGCCCCTCCTAGAAAAGAATGCGCCAAACTGTCCATCACCAGTTGCCCGAGCCGATGCTCCTGCAGTCCATTTCAATGCCACCACAACTGATCCGCGACTAGATTTAACCCTCCTGAAAGACGACGATCGAAAGGCGATGGAAGAAGCGCATGCGAATTATGTTCGCGATATCCGGGTATCGAAGAAATTGCGCTCACCGCACACTGCTGGAACGCGTGGCTTGGTTTCGACTGCGGGGAATTCATACCTTCCGGTGGTTCTGTCGTCGTTACGTATGCTGCGCCGTACAGGCTCTACGTTACCGGTAGAATTATACATGAAGGATGCAACCGAATATGAGAAGAAGATCTGTGAGGGCGTGCTTCCCGATCTAGGTGCAAAGTGTGTGGTCCTTTCGGAAATCGTCGGGAAAACCCCTATCGCCCATTACCAACTCAAGGTCTTTGCGATTCTATTTTCGTCGTTCGAGGAGATCATCTGGATGGATGCGGACTGCTTCCCGTTGCACAAACCTGAAGAGCTGCTTGACTCGGAACCCTTCAAAACCAACGGCTTGGTCACTTGGCCCGACTTCTGGGTGTCGACTGCATCTCCGGCGTACTTTGAACTCTCTCGGCAACCGATCCCACTGATGTCTGCTCGACAGTCGTCTGAGACGGGCGTTTTTCTGGTGTCTAAGGAGGCTCATTTGACAACGCTCTTATTGGTTGCCTACTACAATTATTACGGGCCGTCGCATTACTTCCGGCTGCTGTCGCAAGGAGCTCCAGGGGAAGGGGACAAGGAGACATTCCTGCAGGCGGCAACGGCACTGGGGGAGCCATTCTATGCTGTCAGCGAGAGAGTGCAGGCTCTCGGTCATTGGAAGCCAGACGGCCAAGGACTCTCTGGCTCGGCCATGGCGCAGGCCGACCCGGTGGAAGACTATGCCTTGACCAGTCAGGACAAACGGCGCATCATAGATCCCTCCGTGGCGAAAGCGCCGCGCGTGTTCTTCATGCATGCGCATTACCCCAAGTTCAACCCGGCAGAGAACGTCTTCGGGACGAAGTGGGAGACGGCCCCGACGCTCAAAGCCGATGGCTCCGACGGGCGCGCCTGGACCGCACCGGAAGATGTCGTTAGTCGTTTCGGCTACGACGTCGAGAGGAATTACTGGGAGGAGATTAAATGGGTCAGTTGTGATCCCAAGACGGAGTTCCAGACATGGGAAAACAAGGCGGAGGTTTGCCAGAAGGTCGAGAGCTACTGGCAGAACGTGTTCGCCGAACCACATGAGGACGATCCAAAGTTTACCGATGATTGAACAACCCCAATAATCTGGAAGGAATTCTCAAGGAATTCCACGGCCAGTGCTCGCCATTTGCTTTGAACATACTAGGCTTCTTGCCCACCTGCATCCTACGGAGTCATTTGACGGGCTTCGCCATTGGACATTTCTGCATAACATGCTTCTCATGAGTTGATGATCATTTATACTGCCACGTGTATCGTATATATCCCTTCTAATCTTGCATGTACATTATTTGTGACTACACTTTTCATCTAGCATGTACACAGATTGCACAGACCACGGCCTATGAACAGCCGATTTAATTCGTCTCTGAGATGAAAGCTAACATTACACTCGCTCCTCTTGAAAAAATATTCATAGTTCTTGAGAGGGATATATCCAGGTATCCCTTGCATTATGGTCAAACAACATGACCCTTTATTTATTTCTTGATACCCTTCTCCCTCAACCGCTGCTCATCGTCCTGCTGCAGCTCCTTGTCGATCTTGGCTCCCTTCGAGGGCTCAAAGCCGTGCATAGTCGCCTACACTTATCAGCATCCAGATACTACCGTCGCCGACAGAGAAAGAAACATACCGGAGCAGTGGGATCCCTCTTGCTCAGCTCTGCCTCAGGGTCGTACGGCGCGTTACGGTTGGGGTGCTGTTCCGCTGAAGCCAGCTTATTGGCAATCGAGCGTTCATCCTCTACTCTCATTAGCTACGTTGAACCCAGACCAAGCTGGTTGTCTGACGGGGTTTGGGAAAGACACATACTCGAATCCAAGTCCCTGTGGCTTCCCCTCTGGCCCTCATGGTACCGTTGCCGCTCGTTAATGACAGACTGGGGCTCGTTGCGCTGGTCGCCAGCCTCGTAGACGGAGGGCTGGCCGACGCTAGACTGGCCGCCGCCGGCGTATGAGCTACCGGATTTTTGGGTTCCTGTGGGCATTTTGGCGATAGTCTTTTGAGAGTTGAAGAAAGGGTAAGAGGTCGCGTGAGGTCAATTAGAGTATTGTATTTGAGTTGAATAAAGTATGTGTGTTGGTCGTGGTGAGAGATTCATAGACCTTTATACCATATGTTGGACGTTGTGATGTCATATGGTCGAGTCGCTGAGATCATATTTTGTGGGGCTGGCTGATGATGTATCCTGAGAACAGGAGAATAGGCGCGTTTGACTGGGTTGATTTGATCATAGCTCTCTACTGTGGAGAAAAGAGGAAATTCAATTCGATTTGAAACATTGTCCTAGGGAAGATCCTGGTGGGTGGTGTTGGTCGATGGTGTCATGGCGTACTCTATAGCTCTGTCCGGACTGGCCGTTCCTGGTTACCATGCGAGCAGTCTATGCTCTTGCACCACAAGGATATTCTATTAAGCCTTTGCAGACAGACATGATTTCGAATTCAATTGAGTCCAAAGCCTCATCGTAAATTGGAGCGCATTTGGATGCATCATCTGAAGAATAGAGTTGAGGTGTGGGGTAGGAAGTGGCATCAGCGATGTATGATCACCACAGCTCACCACAGCTCACTCACAGACTTAATCATCGTTTTCTGTACTTGCCTCGACATTCAACCCACTAATTGAATCACCGTCACCACAATGACATCTATCGACCCTCGCTACGAACAACTGTTCCTGGAAATAGAATCGCGCTTCAGATCCACTAACCTCCCCGCAGACAAATGGTACATCCTCGCAATCGCAACCATCGTCGGCAGCTCCGACCCGGAGCGCGCGGACCAGCTCTACCTCCATCTCATCAATCAGCCAGGCCATAAGTCCTCCAGCGCCCGGCAAGCCCTCGTCAAGCGTCTACGAGAAGCCCTCTTCAAATCCATCATCATCGTCGGCGTCTGCAAGCCCATCGAAGCCATCCTAGCCATCGGCAAGGTCGAGCGCGACGAAGATAAAGAGTACACCTGCACGCGGGAGAACTGGCAATGCGACGCAGCCAACCACGAGCGCGGGATGGACTGGTTCGGCAAGCTGTACGCGCGCAACGCGTCCAACACGCTGGACCTGTTCAATGCGCACAAAGACTTCGCCTGGTTATCGAGGGAGATCACCTACGGGCTGTTTCTGTCTGATCGGCAGGTTCTGGATGATGTGGATACGCAGATGGTTGTGTTGCCGGCGATCATGAGCCAGAATCTCAAGACCGAGACGCATTGGCATATTCGGGGTACGAGGCGCTTGGGGCTCTCCAGGGAGGAGGTGCAGGTTGTTTGGGATTGTGTACAGCTGGTGGCGCGTTTCTATGGCGTAACTTTGGACAAGGTCCCTACTGTTGAGGAAGTGGAAGCTGACGTATGAGTCTGTTTACTTTCATGATAGCATTGATGCAGTGGTTAGTGCAGAGAAAGCTCGCCTTGCCCTCCCATCGTGACGAGCCACAATGTGAGCTCCAGTATTGAATCTTAGATTTGGGAAGAAAATGTTATGCGCATCCTCCAGTAGGGCATGATTATTCTTAAACAAATTCACCGAACTCGTTTTCTGAATGCTTCTTGTCACGATGATGATGATATCCCCAGATAAAGTGGAGATGTCACGTGTTTGCGATAAGCTGCTGATAAAGCCAAGGTCCGAAAAAATTAGCGAGGGGCCCTATCGGATCACCCTTTATTGACCGCCGACGAAGAAAGTCTGGAGAACCTCGACTGCCAAGACAGACGCATCTCGATTGATCCCACAGATCAACTGGCATCAAGAGACATTTACAATGGGGAAACGAAAAGAGCTCAAAGATAATGATGTTGAGATGAGCGGTACCGGGCGCCCGGTGGAGGACGACGAGTCGGACGAGGTATGGACGCCATCCTACTCCTATCACATTTTCATGCTAACAACATTATGTTGACCAGGAAATGGATATGGTGAATGTGGATTTTGAATGGTTCGATCCGCAGCCCGCGGTGGATTTCCACGGACTCAAGAATCTCCTCCGACAACTATTCGATGCCGATTCTCAGATCTTCGACCTGTCCGCATTGACGGATCTGATACTAGCACAGCCCTTGCTCGGATCGACAGTGAAGGTGGACGGAAACGAATCCGACCCATATGCATTCCTGACCGTACTGAACCTGCAAGAACACAAGGTACTTCCACTTGTTCTTTGAGGAATGAGAGGAGCTAGGCTTACCTGTGCAGGATAAACCCGTGATCAAGGATTTGACGTCCTACCTACAACGCAAGGCCTCGTCCAATCCTTCCCTCGCACCGCTGTCGGAGCTCCTCTCCCAATCACCTATCCCTCCAATTGGATTGATTCTCACCGAGCGCTTGATCAACATGCCTGCCGAAGTTGTTCCCCCAATGTATAGCATGCTTCTGGAGGAGATCGCGTGGGCCATTGAAGACAAGGAGCCGTACAATTTCTCCCACTATCTGATTGTGTCCAAGACATACGAGGAGGTTGAATCCAAGCTGGACATGGAAGAGTCGCGGCCGCAGAAGAAGAAGAAGAAGTCTGGCAGCAATGTTGAGCGATTCTTCTTTCACCCCGAGGATGAGGTGCTTGAGCGACATGCGATCTGCTCTGGCTCGATAGAGTATACACATAAGCACGACGAGGGCCTTTCAGACTCAAAACGGGCCTTCCAGGATCTCGGCATCAAGACATCGGGAAGTCTGATATTGATCGACGGCCCGAAACTGGAAGCAGCAGTCAAAGATGTGACGGACTACTTAAAACCTCCTGTATAGGCATATCAGAGCTACAGCCAATGATTTCATGACGAAAGAACAAAAGTATGAGTATTAGCCGACGCATGCATGTCTATATCCATCATTCAACCCAGAGATTACAGCTCCTCCTCTTTTCGTGAGGGCATAAGATACATCATTCCCATCAATACATCATATATACTGTCGAGGCCACTTAACTCTTCACTCCCATTGAGTGCCTTTCAGCCGTTGCATGAGGTACTCAACTTCCACCACCTTGGTCAGAGGAATGACGTATTCCTTTTTCCACAATCAGCAATGTTCGTTTTTTCAATGCAGTCAATCCTGTCACTCACCTTGTACATGGCAACCACCGCATCCACATTGATCTTCGGGCCCGTCTCCGACGGAAACGCAGGATCGGTCCCGTAGGTCTTGGCCTTAAGGCCCAATCTCTCCAGCACCTTCTGTTCTACCTTCGCATCGGTAATGGCCGCATCGATTCCGGCCCGATCGTTGGCCTTGATCAGCTTGACAAATAACTCCGGATCCTTCTGAAACTTGGCCTCCGCGACAAATTTGCCAAAGTGAATGCGACGCGAAAGCGCTTGCAGCACGCTGACGTCGCATGTCGCCGCAGACCCGTAGTTCTCTTTTGCTTCTCCTCGATCCTCGCGTCCGAAGTGGGCGCACACCGCGGGAAGGATGTTCTCAATATATCGCTTCTTGATGATCTCGTTGACATTCACGTCGTTGTCGTGGAGGATCTTGGGGTACTCGAGGGGTTGCAGGATGGGCTTCTCGAGCGCTTCGGGAAAGAAAGGGTATTCGTCGGGGGACTCGTAGCGACGAACGCGGGATTGCAGGCGCTCCTGCTCCCGGAGCAGGTAGTCCATTAAACTGACCTCATCGCCTGGAATCTTGACCCCGCCGGGGATGTAGATGGTCTTGTTGAGGGGGAATTGGACGCGCTCGATCAGGTGGAAGGTGATTGTATCCTCTAGACGACTGGAGATAGAGGAGAAGTTATATATCCCTGATCAGCGAGCTCATTCATTCGAATGGACAGTGAACATGAAGAGATACCTCCGGTCGGAGATGGCTGAAGTATGTGCGGGGCAGAAGCAAGGAAATATTCGGACTTACATCAACTGGAATCTGATGTTGGCCAGATCCAACGCCTTGGAAGCATCTGAAAGATCAATTGCAGCGTCCATGCTTCTGTTGAGCTCAGGTTGTCAGAAATTTGCTAAGCTCCTCCAGCTTCTAGGATATTTGGTTATTCTGAGTTAAGAGGGGAAGAAATTGGCGCCGATGGTCGGGCAGCTTCATCCAGTTATGTAGGACTACTTCAGC